CGACCATCCTTCAAAACAGTCGCTTAAGTTCATGTAGCAAACCTACTGAAATCTCACAGATAGTGTTATCAAAGAGGGAGGCGTTGGGTGCACGAAATGTTTATAGGACATGCCACAATAGGTATCAAGGCACAACAACCGATACTTAACGAGCGACAGGTCTACTGAAAAGCGTGCACACGACTTCAAAAGCAGAGTAGTTTCCATGAAATGAGAATGTCTTATCTGAAAGATTTGACCGGACATGCAGCCGTTGCTTTGGTTACACAAACTTCGTTTTAACGGCCCTCCCGCTCAGCGTCACCCTATTTTCGAAAAAAGGCGGAGAATGATATAATAAAATCCGTAAAATTTGTTACGGAAATTGCAGCTTTCTGGTTTGGTGAACTCCTAGGCTTTGTAGTAATGGTTTTAGAAGCCTATTAGGGAGGTGAGTCTGGAGTGAACTTGAGGCTTAAATAGGTCATTAGAAGATTCGCATCTATCTGCTACATACGTGTGATCTCTGTTCCTCATTAACCCTCGGAACAGGAACAAATCGTCTGGAAACATGGACCTTCTTTGACACAAGGCCATAAAGATTGAAAATGTGAGCTGCTATCAATTTTGAACACCAAAGAATGAGTACTGCTATTCTCTCTCGAATATTTGCCTATCCAGGTCAGAATCTGGACATGGTTTCGACGTTCAAGTGAGTACACTGGGTGACTGGAGAATATCTAATGCAGTAAGTCACTTGGCGAAAACTGCATGCATTTGTCTCGCTCTATTGATGTAACTCACAAAGATGTTTCGAAATCTACAAACCGAAATTTATGGCCATCAAATGGTAACTGGGAAGGTTATATGAATAGACAAATAAGGTGAGATAGAAAAATAGGAATTCAAAGCTTCTCACGAAAATACCAGGCTTTACCTCATTATAATCAATAATAGACACGGCCTTCTAAAGACCGGCACCAAAAGAAACCGGATGTCAGTGAGATGCATGTAATTTTGGACTACATGTTTTAAAAACAGCAAATAACTGGAGAATGGTTGAGGCGCATTGCTAAGATGATACATTATTATGGGGGTGCATTCAGCACCACATTCCTTACAAACCTGGAAGGATATTCAAACCAGCCACCACTGGCCGAGGAGTTGTAGACCACATGTTAACAGCGGGTGACCGAAAGCACTAGAATGTGACAAAATTTCTCTACTACGAAGCAACAACACACTACTTAGAATCGGAAGCATGATGTACGATTTTGTACAATTTTGAGCAGATAAGCTGTTACAACATTATTTGTTACAAGGGTTTTGAATTGCTGAGTTATTTACTCGTCACTTAAAATAGGAGAGAAAACTGAGGAAATTTCGATCGTATGAAATAATTAACAGTGAGAAAACAAAGGTTCTGGAAGGAAGAACGAAATGGACCAGGAAGTAAGAGTTAGGGCCAGCTAACAGTAAACCTCCTAAGTGCCTTCACCTCCAACACTCAGTGAGACAGTGTGTGTAGAAACTGACAGCATGAACGTCACTGTCATCCTTTAGTCCCTACACCGCTCAGTGTCTCCAACTAAGCTCAAAGAGTGTCACGTAGAACAAACTATTGGTAAAGTCCCTCCTTCCCCTCTGTCATATCAAATGCCGTCCACCCCTAAATTTCCGCCATTCCCAATTAGGCACGGATAAAAACACTGGTCTTGCTAGGTTGCAACTCGGTATGCATAACACATGACCCAAGCAAATTAGCATGCAGTGCTGGATGCGTGCTTTGTGGGAAGCACCCTCCGCCTCGACATTACCTCATTCCGAATTCGCTGAACCCAGGCAATCCCAACCATACTTTCAAGACCTCGATGACCGAAGACCAGAAACTGACCCCGCGCATGTTGCCAATTACCAGAACAATATTTGATCGCTTAGCATGCTGCTAAAGGGTGCTCAAAGCGTTATGAAAGCTGTCTTAGATTGTATCAGAGCTACACTCTGTCGGGACATAAGCAGATACAATGAACAGGCAGCAATTATCGGCGCACTTACGGGATACTGTCACAGACAAGCGAACCACATAGATGCAACTATCCAAGGGCTGCCAGCAGTGATGGCTTTTGAATCACAAAAGCCGCGCAACCAGAAGCGATTGGAAACCGATGGGGAAGTCAGTTGAACAATCATACTTTGGTCTTGAGTCCTCTTTTCAGACAAACTGCACACATCAATAGAACGCAAGTTCAGCGTGAACGCAACAGCACTCTGTTTTCTGGCGCTGTTCTGAATCTGAACGGTAAAGGCTTCCAGAAGAACCGAGTGTCGGGTGTCAAAAGATGACTTCGAAGTGTCAGTGGCCACAGTGGCCGAGTCAGCCATAGATATTACAACCAGGGGCAATAGGCGGCGAATTGATTTGTCAGTCCCTAAGAATGTACCTGTCTCTAAAAACAAGTTGAGGGGGGAGAGAAACTGCCTGAAGGAGAAAGAGGGTAGGTGTCAGCAGTGGCCTGTTTTCGCTTATCCACCCGGCTGTATGCAGCAATTAAGTTGGTGGTACGAATCAATGGTTTATTTTACGTATGAGTGCTTTTATATGTGGGATCCATGGTTATACATTCTTTGGGCTAATTCAAGAATGCCCAAACTTAGACAGAAGGGCGATAAGGGTCCTTAGTCAAAGACTTTGGCTCAAAAGCCTAACCGAAAGACAGAGGTGGTCGGTGTGAGACCGTCAGAGCAGAGTAAGATCGTAAGGAGCAAGTCACCATATATGTTACAACCCCCAGACTGGAGGACCAGGAGACTGTACTATTTAGGCCTCTGCTTATTCACCAATCAGGTATGAGAGGCCCTGTGAGTGTCACACGCAAACTCCTCGGTATGACTCACTGGGGGTACATGAATCGTCACACCGCTGTAAGGTCAATTATCATAATGACGTCCTGTGCAAATTAAAATGTCGTCTATGTATTTGTTTTAAGAATATACTATTGAAGATATTGTTAGAAGGCTGCCTTCCAATCATATAGAGAAGGCCATCTGCCAATGAAGATTCAAGCAGAATAGCCGTTGCCACGCCAACTGTTCGTTTCTACGATTGACATTCAAATTCGCAATGGATGTTTTCAGTACGTGTGAGAATCGGTTCCCTTAAATATACTAAGGGATATCTGTGGAACCTTTTTGCGGGGCAGTAAAATGTCCTATTTTAGTGCAAAGAACAGTGATAGATTAAGATCTTCAAACTTTTCCTTGAGAAGAGATCATTTACCGTTAGGCTGTGCCAACCTTGTGAGGCCTGTCATGTCTTTATCGAAACCGTCAAAGATACACTATGTAGGTACATCGAAACGTAACAGCGCTTCTGTGATACATCTAACCAACTTTCACATATGCAAAGCGAAATGTTCGAAAGCTCCCGGCGTGAAACAATTTTTTGAACAGTAGACACTACCGGTCAGAATGGTAACTTATCATATTTGGACAGTCCATCTTCAAAACAGAAGTTTCACATCTCATAGGAAGAAGGTAGGCTGGTTTGTTCCCAGAAAGTATAATCAATGTAGAGAATTCTAAAATACTAGACAGAAAATCCTTGATTCTCACTATCTGGGTTTTTTTCTGTGTCTACTCCCTTGAAATGGATATGAAACGCTATAAACAAAAGCTTCAAGCCCTAAGTCTCCAGAAGTCTCCATCTGTCAGTCTCCATGTTTGGGGCGATGCGATTTTACAAAAGTTAAGGACAGACCGCAGTTGAAGGTGGAAAACCGAAGCCGTTTTATTTTCATTCACACTGCGCCTTAAGAAGCTGAGTTTGTGAACAACACATTTCAAGACATTTTCGTTGAGCATTACTTCCATGATACCCGCCGTTTGGCGTTAATTTTTTATGGCGCTGAACACTTTACACGCCGGTGAAAAATCTTTATCCAAAGTGTCCATTACTGAAGTCCTTCTGGACTAAGAAAAGCCATCCGATTCCCTGAAAAATTTGTTCCCGAGATTCATAATAATTTGATCTTCATGTATTCAACTTTTGAAAATGTTCCCATTTCCTTCCAGCAGTTCCCTACAATCATTCCTAGATTGGGTTGAATATTTTTGCCACTGATAACTCTAAACATTCGATACTGTTTCTCGAATCCCATACTTCAGTAGAATCCTTCGGATTCCACTGTTTTCACTTTAGCAGGTCCTATGCACCGGAGTCTTGCTACTTTATTCCAGAACTTGGCACCACTTATTTATATCATACTATACAATTTAAAGTACGTTTATGTCACTCAACAGGCGATCACATCCAGATGAGCACCTGAGTTAGGGAAACCTGGGTAAAGACAAATATTTCCATGAAAACAGTGTTGATAAGCTCAAAACATGGATCTTGTTCCGATACCTTTCATTCCCAACTGGTCTGACCCTAGGACAATAAATACGTGACCGATCGATATGAAATGCATTTTGGATCTTCAAACAGTGTGTGTAGGTGCAGCCGTTAGGAGGATTTAGTCCGTTCTGTGTTGGTGCACTTAATCAATACACTTTATCCGATTTGTGCGAGTTATTTCTGCCCTTGAATTCATCAAGAACATAGTCGCAATCGTATAATTAGGACAAGGACAAAAAAGTGAATCTGAAATTGCTGAGTAAAAAACTGAATAGTAAACGTTTGACAAAAGCGGATATACACTTCACCATTCTGAGACAAGGCCATTCATTGTACGCAGTGGGATTGGAAACTTACTACTTGTAATTACGCTGCGGCGAACCATACACAATTTAAAGGTATCAAATCTTCACTCTTTAAATGATTTCAAGGACTACATAAGATGCGATGTGCTTGAGTCAAGCACACACATCAACTTATTAAGCTGGAATATGTAAATATTGAAAGGGAATTAAGGGAGAGCCTTTCTTTAGAACAGAATCCCCATTACACCATTAGTAAGATGGTCATTCTTCAGACTAGTCTGAAGCCAAGAACTAAATTTCTACAATCCTAAAGTGAAGCATCAGTGTTCTTTAAAACGTATTAAATTTTCATGTGTAACTACCGCACGAGATTTATTTCTAGACATGGACAAACAGTGGCTTGCCTGAGCAATGTACACAGCTCCAGTGTCCCCAATACGGTTACCGGAGAGGTCCAAACGGAGTAGTGTGGTGTTTGCGGATTTTGTTGTGCCCAGACGGGCGGCAATTTGCTTTGCTTCGGCGGGACCCAACCGACAATGGCGCAGTCGCAACTGCTCCAAGCTGGAATTCAACAAGCACTCAGATGTGTGATAGCCAAACCTGCAGTACAACACAGTCTTGCTTACCGGTCTTCCTTCTATAAGTGACATTTTTGGCGTGCAACAATTTTTCTGCAAAAATCAACAGGAAGTCCATGGAAGGCATAAGAAATTAAATTTTGTAAGGCTAACTCAATGACTGTTCTTAGTTTCTTTGAAGCCTTCAAGAAGGGTCTGATAAAACCGTGATGGTAAGTTTGAACCCGGTGTCATAACCATTATCAAGAATGCTGCCTGTACCATAAATATGAGCTGTGGGTCAAAGAGTGGGTTGACCAAATGTGTGATCAGGTGGTTCTTCATATTATCACACTATCACACACTATTATCACACTTTTCACTATTCTCGTCGAATCATGGTTAACATAAACACTACGCAATTCTCAGTTACGGGGCCACTCACCAGAATAATAACAATTCGAAGCTTTGTGGGCAGTCTGACCATATAAGTTTGAACGTCACCTCTTATTTGTCTCTGAAATGCAACCGCATCCAGTGAGAATAGGAAACTGATTGCAGTCTGAAAGCAACTCGTAAACAGCGACTGCATTAACAACGTAGATATCAGAAGGGAGTCGTTAGATGTGCACTGCTGATGATTCCCACGAGGGATGAAACAGCTGTACAGTGTATCTCGGCTTTCCAGCATAATTGGTTTACACGATGAAATCTCCACCAAGATTTTCACATCGCTTCGGACTACAAACAGTGCAGATCTTCATTGTCTCCCAGAATGCACCTAAACATAGAGGCACGACTGGAACTTGTTCACCCGTTAGTGAGTATGTCACAGCTACCACTGGATAAGTTGCTTTGGTAGATGACTGTGCCCCCTTCGCACGTTACTTCACAGTAAGTCTTCACGAGAAAAAGTATTCCATGATCTGATTTAAACTTACAACTACTGCGAAAAATACCGAAAAATACAGAATTCATTTCATCAAGGTAGTTGATTGTTTAGACCACCAAGACATCTTCTTCACTTGGAAATTCCAAGGCGAAAAGAACCAAGATGACCTATTTTGATTCATGGATTATTACAGTTGTTTTCACCCTAATTCTGGCGTTATAACTGAGAAACGTTTCCAAAGGACTGAGCCTGGAGTTCGACTGGTTTGTTCATCTAGCATTCGTCCAGCCCAGTATGTTTTGTTCCACAAGATGAGTTAACATACAGGCGAACAGAAAATAACCAGATTGGCCCTAAACGTTAGTAACAATAGTCAGTACAGTAAAGTTACATCCTATCAACAAACGAACCACGTACCTCCCCTCATCTTGAATTAAACTGGCAAAACTGTCCTCGTTCAGAGATTCGTTTGCATCAATTGCTAGACATCTGCCAAAAAATAATGGAATGCGTTGATAGACCACCTTGAAGTACGCAGGAGCACAATGATAACTCAGGAGGAAAATAATGGATGGATTCAAGCCTTTCCCCTCAACATGGTCTGGGAACAACTTCATATTTTTCGTAACTTTTTAAGCGGCTGGTTTTGATGGACTGGTCTGGGTTCGCGATTATATGATCCAAAAGGTGTGATAAAGTAATTAGTTGAGATTGGTCTGTGGAAGACTGTACGGTGTGCTGCCTTTCATGCAGCTCCATTGAAAGCAGCAACCTGGAGGGTAAGGTGGTGTCCATAGATTCTGCTCAACAAAGCAATCCATAATGACAGCATTAAGGCAGCTACATACCTTCCGTCAACCTGATCTTAGTTGTTTAACCTTTGAGAAAGGATGAAATTAATTTGGACAAGGGCTGACACATGCTGACGGGATAAAGTTGTCATACGATTAGAAGCACCTTGCACAATGGTGTCGTTAAAAGACGTGACAATATAATGGATGTATATGGTATGTGACTTCTACCGCTACGGATGAAACGGACGGCTTTGCAAAGTAGTATCATGCGGCACGTCAAAACCCCGGGAAACTAAATAGGTAGATATATAGTGTTGAAAGTTTTTTGTCCAAAGGAAATGAAACTTGTACTTATACCAAGCTTTAACTTACTTCACATGAGTGTTCGTTGCCAAAAATCGGGCCAGTTGTGCCACCTGTTCAGCAGTGAGGCCCGCACTCCAAAAGCTAAAGGTAAGGCAAGAATCAAGTTATGTGCACACAGCAGGTTTGTTTTATACCGGCAGAAACGTACAAAGTATAGTGAAAGGATGGACTTGTACATATGACGTTCTGAATAGGAAGCCCATATATATCCCTTGAAAAAAGTGGATCTTCTGATCACCTTTCTTGGGATAAAAACAAGTCTCCACTGCTCAAACACATTTTATCTTCCCCATCCTTCATGATTTTCTAGGATTTGGATTTGTTCACAGTGAGAAGTAAACCTATTCATGGAATCTACTGAAAATATTCATTGAAATGACAGACTGAACACAATGTCTAAATAAGCGTGGAAGATAAAGAATACAAATCTCACCTAGGGCACCCGGTACGTAAAATCTACTTGAAACAGGTACTTCGAGTGAAAATTCAGTTAAGCATCAAGGAGGGTAGTGTACGAGGAACAAATGTTGCTTAAATTTGCGTACTAAATGATTTCAGTGAATTCATTACTGGCTCTCAGGCTGGCAGAGAAAACAAAAACACCTTGATACAACGACTCGAATAACACCGATAAACATCGTTAATACACCTTTATCCTTTTGGGACCAGTCATTCTTATCAGTTTGAACTACAGCTTCTGTTTTTCCAACCCCTGTTATTGTATAAGCGTGACTTCCTGCTTCAAGCATTTTAGGCAGAAATTCAATCGTCTATCTGAACCAGAACATTTAATTTATACATTTAATTTCAACATTTTTGCATTCCAGGACAATGGGGAGAACTCTCTCCGGACGTACTTGGTGAATGAATTTTCCTCAACGTACATTTAATTTTTAGCTTGAGAAATCGGGTGAAGTGCTGGACCAAAAGTGGTTTCCTTCAAATTTCTTCCAGTGGTGTGGTCTTTACAGGGAGACAATGGCGTTTTCTCCAAATTTCCAGTGAATGAACTGCCCGAAGACCACATAGTTGAATCCTGGTTTCCACAGTCAAATCAATCTGGCCTCCGTCTCATGCCATAGTCACTGGGTCGATAAAACTCCCTTACGCGGTTATTAAAACATTAATCGACTTCAACACAGTGGTCGAACCATAGTACTCGACAGTATTCAAGCAATAATAAAGTGTGCGCCACTGAATAGGATAACGGATTCACAGCTCTTGCCAAGAATCACAGTATCATCTTATTTTACGGAGCGCACAAAGCAACAATAATGCACAAAGTATCCGACTAATGGATGACTTCTTTTATGAGAAATATTTACACGAGGAAACGACCTAGTGCGACTCTAATTTAGTCCAACTGAATTCCATCTGGATAGAGGACCTGAAAAAAGAAAACTTTCAAACAGAAATCGACTCCTGTTACCGGCGCACGTCATCGTTTACTTCGATAGTCCATGTTCTCCACGTGTCCTTACTCCGTGTCTCTCTCTCAGCTTTCCTGATAAATATAACAAATCCAGCGACAGTCGGTAAAAAAAGGACGTTTAAATATTGGGCTTGGTGAACCCGTTCTCGATAAGCACTAACATAAAAACAGAACGGGAATAACTTTCTGGCCGGTGGAAGTATCTTGGCGTCAGATATAAACTTCGAATGAAAGAGCTGTAACTTCAAACGTCACTGTGAGCTTTTTTCATTCATAACTTTCACCGCCCGAGTATTGTATAGCTTGTGATAACAGCGGAGCAGGGGTTGGAATACACTACAGTGGTTCTGGTGTGTTTGTTGTATATCCGTAAACTGAAGATACAGATTGTGCAGCGTAGCAATACGGCGACCGAGGAGTCCCTAGGTGTCGCGAATTTGGGAGTGCTTCCACAGAGCAACTTGCGAACACTGGTAATCAGGAGCAAATTCACTAGCTTCGTTTACAGGTAAAGATGACATTGTCACACAAACCAACAAAGGGTATGAAAGATGAAGCAAGTTATAAAGAGCAAGTGAATCGAGCCGATTAGATTTACGCTATGACCTATCAAGCCAGAAAGCGAAATAATCAGACAAGGCCAAAGTGATCTATGCTGGGTACTCCTCGTATAAAATCTCACTACTTGTAATTAAACAAGTAGCGAGTAATTAAACAGCTGGACACAAGGCAGATCGGGAAGAGTGTGGTGAACCTCTGCTCTGATCGAACTGATTCGTCTACGTACGTGTTGGTGAGAGTAATTATAAAATTCTGTTACTATTTAAGGATGGTTAGAGGACTAAATGGCAGTGTAAACTGTTTAAAATAATTTACCTCTGGACATAAAAACGAAAGTACTAAACAGTGATATCAAACTAGCCACAGTTTTCAACAGCAATAACACGGGAGTTTACAAGCCTAGGACCAAAACGCCATGAAATAAAAAGACAGTGTCCTCGTTGAAGCGTAGTCAACAGATCCGTGCATGGTGACCTGACCCGAATCGATTATGAGAGCTTGGCAGGACAATTTGGCTGTCAGCTATAGGTTGAGTCATTGTTGCATGAATGACGAAGAACTGCTCGGTTTGATGGGTGAAAATCACGTGTCGACTGGCTGAAATTTTGTTACGGCATCACCAATCGTTGTTACACGCACATGAGGTATTGTTCGAATTAGTTTTTGGAACTCAAACCTTTCCCAAGACACATGGGAATCTTTGAGCTCTGGTTTCAGTAGGGTCGTACAAAAAATTGACGACTACAGGACAAATATGGTAAATGGCTATAGACTATGACTGAATAAGTACAATATACTTATTAGCAAACTGAAAACCGTATAGTGCTAGTTACGGGTAACGGTTCATCTAAAATAATTGCATCCGTTTTTCCCACTGAAAACAATCAAGGCACCAATGATATTTCAATTCGTTGCTTGATTTCGGGACTGTTAGGTAAGCACACTAACAGTGACACAGGTTTTCTTCTTTTTGGCTATTTAAACTCACTTTAGAGTGTGCAGTTTTGATGTCACGCTGCAACAATTGAGGATTACTTCAAGTGTGACATCTGTCATATTCCAACCTGACGAATTAGTTGAAGGAGGACTCAGCTCACCTCTCATGTAGACTTCTGTCACTGTCTCTGTTTTGTCCGGAACCTCAACCAGAATTTGAATTTTAGGTGTGAAAAACTTCTCCTCTGGCACTGTGTTGAAAGTAGTTGGCACAATCTCGGAAGTAGCAAGGATATCTGTGTTCGACAGCAAGGAGGACAAAATGCGAAAACTACTGGCCGAAGATGAGATAAAATGCGAGAATTGTATGAAATTTCGACTAGTTGACCTGTGTAAGATATTTACCCACCTCGTTGTTCTACCATCATTTTTGTTTACTCATACACACGCTTTGTGGCTGAAATTCGTCCACGAAATCCCTCTTTAGTCACACAGGTGAAAGTCAACCTCTATCCCGCAGCCATCACATGCATGTGTCCTCGTGCATTAGCAGCATGTGCCTTAAAAAAGACCACTCTTCTTGTACCTTGTGGCCAACATACGCACAGGTACAGTTAGTTTACAGCGTCCGCATTTATGTAGACGATGAATATACTGATGCTTCAACCGAATGATATTGTTTGATAGTGCTCAGCTGACTTATGCCTTTGCCACTACCATTCCCAGACACGCATTTGAAAAATATAGGTGATGGTCCTGTGGTGTGCGAGGCGGTTACACAAGCAATTTGTTGCGCGATATATTTTTTGCTTCAAAAGCTAATGCTATTTCTAAAAACATGAAAAATAGGGTCTAAAAGTCTAACCCGGTCAAAACCGTTATATAATTCTCTCCGACCAAATATAGCAACAGAGGTGAATAACCAGTACGGAGTAAACATACAAACTTGGAAATCACATCCGCTCCATATTCCGCTGCATGAGTAAAACACGCCCATTCTAGGATATTTTTGAATATGAAGGGTGCGTGGTGAGCGGTGCTCATTTCAACTTGGTCTAGCTTCATCTCCAAAACATTGATATTTCAACACGTCCCCTATCATTCACCTAGGATTTCGTACCGGTACAACACGCGGTCCCGGTGTTCTGCTGGGCAAAATATCATTCGAAAAAGATAAACTGGGAGAGATTTTGGCCACAGATTGTCCTATATTCTCCAGCTGATTAGTTTTCTCACACAAAATTTTGTTTCCATAGTGGCTACGGCTCTGCATATGTGAACTGCAATTTTATGTGGCGCAACCACTGCTACTTCAGGGCTTTAGGTATACAACTTGAAGTAACCGATGGCATTTGGATAGCACCGATAATCCGCAAGACTCATATACTCACTCTACTGTGCCAACTCAAGGCGGGTTGATTTGAGGATCAAAGGTTTGTCCAGAAAGGTGAAGTAGCGTGTGGAATGAATTAAAGTAGCTTTTTTGGACTGTACCAACAATCGCTTTTTGGATAAGAATCTTAAGGTTGATCGCTACCGGTCCAGCCTGATTCTCTGTCGACCAGGCTTTAGTTACCAAAAACGAACTGAGAGTGACTTAATGGTTTTTACTTCAAAATAACCAAAATTTTCTAGATTTTCACTGCCGTTATGGATGTTTATTTCACTGTTCACGTGGTTTTCTGGAGAATCAGGGGCCTTAAGTATTTGCAGTTCATAAGCTGTGTGTCTGTCAATCTGCTTTCGACCTTTTGTCATTGGAAAAGTTTATTCAAAAGCAAGACACCAGTCTGCACTACTCACAATGGGCCTTGTTTATAATTGAACGACATTTGAGTGCTTTAACTCTGGCTTCAGATTGTATGCTTTCTGAACACTCGTTAAAATTTATTCTACGTGATAAATGAGAGAGGAAAACTGACTCTATTGGCATACAAAACCTGAAGGGTTCTCAAAAACGCCGATGTCATGGGGTTACCATCAATGTAACACTGTGATATTTGTCCCAGAGCACGGATTTTGCACCATAAAATAAATATCGATACCAGTGGATGCTGCCAAAGCACTTTTTATCACGATAGTTATCTGGTTAGTTATGCTAAACTTATATCAGTTGGGTTATAACATTTGAATATCATTTATGCTGCGATTTTTTCAACCAGAGGGGTGGTAAGTTGATTTATCACCAGGAATTAGACAAAGACATTTTACAATGGTTTCTTTTACAACCATCTTGTCCGCCGATAGTGAGGTGTTTCAGAAAATTTCTCCTACGTCACAGGTAACAGCTCCGGAAGTTTTCCTGTACATTTTTTTGGTTCTGGTGCGTTGGTCAAGGGTGACTCTTTAAAGGATGTTAGACTCAATCCTCTGTAATTAGAGTTGCAATGTTTTTGTAAAGGGAAACTCTAAAGCACACTGATGACAGCACAAACACATAAAACCTGTATAATTTAACCTGACTGAATTGCATGCAGAGGAGCGTTGAAGTGATCGCACTTATACGCAGGGCGCATTTCTATCCTTAATAGCTTTAGTGCAGGGTTCAGAGAAGAACACAGTATGACCAATAGCTGCATCGTTTTACTGCAAACCAGCACGACCATAAATTTCACTTATAATCCTGTTAACCGATTTTAGGATACTTGTGGAATTTCCCCGTTTCGGTCACTCAGACACCTCAGACTCCATCATGTAAATTTACATTCAAAGCAACATGTTTATTTTACAGTATTTCAAGACAATTAATCAAAGAATCACGCAAAAACTGAGATATCAACTACATTCGGAGCAAAATGACCAAAATCTACTTAATGGGCTCATATGTAAACGCCAGGTTTTTGTAACCAGGTAATCTATGACCATGAACAATAATTTGGAACTGCCTTTAGGGTAATTTCCCATAGAAGCATATCAGAAAGGAAGAAAGAATATACGGACAGTTCTTTACACCAGGTTGGAATCAGTAGCAGTGTGCTCAGTGCTTCCTGTCAGAAAACAGTGTGGCTTCATGGAGCCCCTGCCTACTCTATATCCCTAAACATTTGCTTCCACACGCACAAAACACACTGAAAGCTATTGAAATCCAGAACTACGATCCAGCTGCTGAATAATCCAAAACACATGCTAAAGTTCAACCCAAAAGTAACTATAATGCTTAGTTGTAGGGATATCAGATGAGCTTGTTCCCTCTGCCTCATTCTCTTTGAAGAAGCCTTTTGATCCAAAACCGAATACTCAATGGACAGTTGACAACAACCGAAAGAAGAAAGAGGCATCCAATATCCATGCATTCAGTGAAAGCCTATCAACCTTATATCTGAACCCAAACACTAGGGACAAAATTGTCATAACGGGATTCTCATTTGAGACTGGAGCATGACAAACGTCACTGAATCTTGTTGCATTAGTCAGCTAGTTTTCTTTGGGCATTTCTCGCCTTGGTGTCCCAGAGTGCAGACAGTTGTGGGAGCTTTAGGGACCATTGTTTATACAGCGAAGAATCATCCAACTGCTTGTTTTACGTTGATCTTATCTCTTGATTAGACAGTCTAAATATTTCGAGTACTAAAACACAAAATCAAAAATGGTCTGATTTAGAGCAATTAGTTAATTATCATATTCAGTTCAGATTACAGCACCAAGGACGATTGGGATAACAGTGAAAATGACTCAGGTCTTTTTCTTTTTCAACAATCACTGCAAATCCAAAATTCTTTTTAAATGTTTATTGGGAGTGTCTGGCCAAAGATTGCTTAATGATTCACATTTTGATGTTTTCGCCCTTGTAATCTCTTTCAATCTTTGTAAAATTTGTATCCTCTTAACAGTCTTCTTGCTGTTGATATATGGCCTCAGTTCCATCTTGACATTGATCTTCTTGCTCCGCGTGTATCAGATTTTAATGTTTTTACTATTCTTCCGAGTCATTTGCGCAACTTTTTGTCGAGATTTCATGTTAATTCACTGTGGTTTTAACATCTAATGGTCTGAAACCATACGTCAGTCATTTTTTCAAACTATTAGTTCATTTTTTCCAATTCTGTTGCCAACTGCTCATTGCTACTGAATAACCTTACTCAGTTCTTGGCTGTGTGTGGCCTTTTCTCAGTAGTTTGAAATGCTTGTGGCAGGATGTTTAAGGACATCTCAATCGTGCTGACAGTTTCGTCAGGTTAATACACCACATGATACGTACCAATCGGTCCAGGTATTCAGCCTAAATCTTGTGCGTAGGAAATAAAAATTGTACTTTGCTTTATAACAAAAATATCTAGCGTTATTCATTTTTAAGGTTATACAAACCGGCCATATGCGCCTTAAAACGACTCACTCTTGATTAACTGTTTTGTCCGGAACATAATTTGCGAAATTCTGTCAGTGGTTACTGCCACTGTAGAAAAGTTACTCAGGTTGATTTTTCAGGTTCAAAATTACTCGCCAACATACTAGAGGGGTGCAGAGAACTTTGTGCATTGTGTTTATTTTTGGTCCGAGATATGTAACGTGCGTACTTTTTAACTCTTAGTGGGCGTCTAAAACGGGTGAGGCTGTGACGCAGTTAGCGTTCCAGATTGTGTGCACCACGTTCAACCCATCCTATCTGCTGTGTTCCGTCAACCTGTGTGTATTAGACGCATCATTTTTAGTTGAGCAACATTTTGCTTCTCACTACGCACGAGATTGCACCGCATATGATTCTCCAGAAGATAACAACCAGATTGCTTTTCTGGTTAGGGCTGCAAAAGTCAGAATCCGCCTAAACAAACATGCCGACAAAAAAGCTAAATCTGAGTTATCCCACCGATTTTTGTTCAATAGTTCTCAAAATATTTCTGTTTGGAATGTTATCTACTTCCCAAAACTCTACTTACTGTCTTTGACACACACGTTCAACCTGTCCATAAGCCAATCAAATGCAGTTGGTTCTCCATTCATAAAGAGGAAATCCGGAGTTTCTTCATCAATCTTATGAAATATAATGGGGAGGAAGCCTCACACAATTACGGTGACTTCACTTGAATCTGACCGAAATTCTTGCATTACCTTGCAACCATACAAAGTAGTACATTATTTTCATTAACATAAGGGACCACACTGCTGCTCCGAGCCAACGGTTAAATAAAAATGGAGCTTCAACAAAAAGGTCGTTAACGCAATAGCACTATCATTGTGCCCCTTCATATTAGAGCTTGTCACAACAAGGTTTCTGAAGCACTTAGGAAACTTTTGTGCCTATTGGAAGAAAACGCCTCAGCTGACGACTTTTATCTGAAGCCTTTTCTGAGTCTGAAAAAAGTTTATGAAACATCGTCGATGTTTTTAAAAATTGGGTGCACAAAATTATGTGCACACTTTCAGTTTAGCGCCTTCGTTTTAGGTCAGCAAACCTCTTAAGTGCTCTGAACATGACAAAACCTAGGCTTATTCGAATTTAGGTTTAGTAATTGAGAAGTTGACTTCTACACATCCATAAAACAGGTGAGAATTTTCTATCGGAGTAGACATATAAAGCATACGTTGTAGAAGAGATAGTGCCCTCACAATTTTATGAGAAAGAGGGTAAAATTAACTACGAGAAATACACTCATTTGAAAGTCTAGTTTTCATAAGCGACTCAGCTGAATCTCTCGTTTATGCTATTTTTCAACTGAATGTGTTTTCTTTATGAAAATGTACTGCAATATCTCGAATATCGTACAAGTGAAACATGAGGCCGCCCGTGTGCAGCACATTCGGTTAAAAAATATCATAAGCGCGAGGCTCAGTCGAGTCCCTCGTAAAAACCAAACCGATCTGCAAATGAGTATATTTCTCAAAACCAGTCCAATTAGGGTTCAAGTAGGACACAATGTTGACAGTGATTCGGGGACCTCGCCTACGTGATGAGCCCAAGAAGGGCGAAACCGGTCATGGGCTGTACTTTATGTTAAAAATATGTCAAAAATTCCTATCCGAAAGTTATGCTTACCATAACTAGTTTGCGAGTTTTCTCTGGTTGAATTAACCGATGATCCTGATTTACTGCTCTTCAGTCGCTGAAAAGAGAAGAAGATGGAGGTGACTCGATGATTGTTGTATTGTCTCGCAGAGAGATTGTTGACGGAAACCTACTTTAATACACGGTGCATTTGCTATCCCTAGTCGTTCCACGATGGGAAAATTTTGCAATCCCTTCTTGAGGCATATCATTTGATAGTCCTCCTCAAAGCGCCCACTCATTTCGGAAGTTTCGAAATCTTTCCCAGTGGGCAAAAGCCCTTCACCTTCGTTGAATGTGCTTTGTATGTTTTCTAATTTATCTGTGGACCTCTGTGTTAATCTGCCAGTCTTTTTCACCATTTTTATTATTTACGTATTCGTAAACGTGCACATGACTACGACTGAACCAAACAAATAAATTTCAAGGTCATCTCGCGGATTCGTGGATTGATACACAGGATCAAGGCTTTTGCCCAAGTTTCCCGGGTCGGTTTTGTTCTTGTCGTTCAACGGCTATTGTTCACCTGAGAGGCACAAGTGAAAAAAGGGTGTAGCACTGCTCTTTATGTTCTCAGCGCGGGGCAGTATGCTTGTCAGTGCTAGGATTGGTATAAATGTCTAATAGTGCTTTGAACTGGGTTCTAGAAGGTGCGTGGACAAACGTCGGAGGAGGGTCATTCCACGCAACTACTACCCGAGATAAGAAAAAATTATGCCTAATGAATGTGTGTGCTCTGAGCTTGAAAATCTTCCTACCCTGTCCCCGCCGTGTGTTTGCTGGGTCGCCGGTGAAAAACCTGTTGGCCAAGCTTTGTTCAAACAGGGCATAAGTAAGAATTAGGTCCCCTCGGAGGCGACGATACTCCAGGGGAAAGAGATCATGCAGCGCGAGACGGGTATTGTGATCTACGGATTAGAGTCCGGCGACAATTTTCATAGCTGCTCACCGGACACGCTCAATGAGGGTGACGTCTTTCGTGCGTCCTGAGTAGACAGCTTGGTTGGCGTATTCCACGAGTGGTCTGACGTGGCCCCCGTAGATTATTTGGAAGTCCATGCGAGTAATATGGAAAAAGGTGCGTCGGATCATCCGTAAAAGGGCGAATGCCTTTTGGGTCGATTTATTATGGTGAAGTGAGAGGGACAAGTTCCAGTGGACCCAAATACCCAAATTCTTTTTGGCGTCTATCCTCATGACGTTTTCGCAGAATTTGTTGAAACGGCTGAGGCAATTCGTGGAAAAGCATTTCAACACTGTCTCCGCTGCCTCCGAAAATAAGGAGCTGGAAGTTGAGTGACCAGGGAGGTTAGAAGACCTAACAGTTGTGAGCCGGGTTTGAGTTCAAGGCTCCAAAGGGGCCTCTGGGGCAACATCGTCTGCTTCCCGTTTTGGTGGTTGTTGGGGACGCTTTTTTGCTTGAAAGGTATCTATGTCCCGCGAAAACCCTGTTTGCTCTGGCCGTTTGACTTTGGGGACGGAGATTTTTCCCTGTGGGCGAAAATTTCGACCATTGCCGCTTGAAGCTCTTTCAGCACCGCCTTTTCGGCGACCAGATTTGCTGTTGATCAAAGATTCGCCCTTCTGCAATCTTGGGTATTTTAGCGCGGTTTGACCGGAAAAGTGTCTCTGTGAGGTCCTGGGCGCTGGGTGGCAGCACCGAGAAATAATACTTTAGGTGGAGCTCCACTGAGGCAGAGCTATACTGGAGTACTTTACCTTGAAACCGGCCAGCAGTTTTCTAACCTGGGAAATCTTACGTAGCTTGTTTGGTTGCAATCGCTTTTCCTTCGTGGTTGTGTGGACACGCGATCCGCCGATGATCAGAGTGGTCAACCGGATGTACGAGGGATTTTCCGGTTGGCTGTAGTCACGTTTGTGGCTTTGGCTGTCGGGGTCCTGGGCGATGGCTGTTTTCACAAGCAGAGGCCGCATTTTACGGAGTGGAGCAGGAGATTCGCTTCGCTGTTTGTCCCCGCACATCTGACTCAGTCCAGTTCAGAGGCTGTGACTTTGGTGAGGCGTTCATGGTTGCACCTTTGTCGTCTGTTACGGAGATAAGCGTTGATGGCTCCACGTACTTTCGGTGCTGCTTGCATCTGTGTATTAACGGTATTTTCCTCAGCTTATTGGCCGTAGCAACGCCTAAAGACGTGCGGTATAGTGGGATCCGTGTGGAGTCCTACCTATCACCTCCCCTTGAAGTTTGTTGACATAGCTTCGAAGCCGGGGGTTCACTTAGAGTGGCCTCACTGGCTTGCAGATCCTGTCTGTCCAGCGTCGCGGTTGTAATCCGTGCTCAGGCTGGGCCTCTGACGAAGCAACTGATTGATTTTCCGGGATGGCGCCGATATCAAAAATGTCCAGAAGCATTTCTAGACTCATAGCACTCGGTCCTGTGGGTAGGATCGGCGCATCTGTCGGCCGGATCTGGTTTGCGTGGCGTATCCACTTGGCTGGACCAACTTGAATCTCGTAGAGCACTTTGCCGCGCCGGCGAAGGATGAGTCCTGGGGTCCA